GATGCCCATCATGAAATTCTGCATCCCTTGAGCTTGTTGAGCCAATACGCCCAAGTCTTGTTGCTGTAAATGCTTCCCACTACCGCCTCCACCGTTAACTACAACGAGAACATTCTCCTCAACCGAGCCAACCGTACCTTACGAGAAGCCGCCACTGCTGCTGCCTGGTGCATGGCCATAGCCTGCTGCTGCTGCTGTTGTCTCAACCCACCAATAGACGTGCCGAACTCAGGTATACTGCTTATGCTAGGCGCCACTGTAGGTGGAGCCATCATATTGCTATTCGCCCCAGCAGCCAACGGGGTCACCCTCGAACTAGTCGAGGACATGTCCGGCGTGTTAGCAGCGGTACTTGATCCGGTGGCACAATAGTAGCCTTGGACACCTTTGCTCTGCACGTGGGACTCTGCTGGGGTGGGGGGATTATAGCTGAGAATGATGATAGCGACCAAGCGACATACAAAGTACTACTTACTCGTTTTTAGGAGTTGCCATGTATTATGCCAGATACTGCTTACTCTCTATTGTTACTATTATCAATACTATCGATAAACCACTCCAATTTACTTCTCAAACTTATACAACGACGACGACGACGATGAAACTGCTGCTGTTGCTGCTTCTGCTGCTTGTGTCTACGAGATTGCCTAGGGCTGGACTAACCTAATGAGGTAAGCCGAGACGGCTGAGCGCAATCAAACTGAAATAGGAGTAAATATCAACCGACCCTCCGACCCCATTGAAGCACTTAACACAGAGCTAGCCTTGAACACAGTGTGAACGGACAAAAGTCCTGTAACACTCAGTTGTCACCAAAAAAGGGATAGTTGACGACTTCCTGTACGACAACGATGGGGATAAGGAACCTGACAAGCACTACTGCAATGAGAATTGTCAAAAAACATACGACAATCCCTCTTATAAGAAGCCTTGCACTCGGCGATCGAGGGCTACTACTTCAAGAAGCTGCTGCTCACCCCTCTCACTGTACAGCTGATAAATACTAAATCATCGCTTCCATAATGGAGGCGGGACAAGCCAATAACGCCCGTGACTACACTACTTGTACGATATGATGGATGACCGGGCGTTGAGGAAATGCAAGATCGCAAGATTACGCCCCCTACGTTATTGAATAATGTTCCTCCACTTAACACTAATACTAGGCATACTCTACGTAAAATATCCCCAACGATGGCCACTCGTGTGACAGGGTGTCACCATTAAAGTGTCACAGCGGAAAGGACGATACCATGGTCGACACCAGTGAGAAATGTGCAACTCATATGCTACTTCTTACTAAGAGTAATATACAGCCGCTAATAGGGACTGGCCCTATATTGAGGAGGAGGTTGACCGCCATAGCCCTGCTGCTGCTGCTGCTGAGGGTATCCTCCATAACCACTAGATGGTGCCGCTCCATAGCCGCCGCCGTCTCGTCTAGCCCCGCCATACTGTGAGGAGCCATAGCTACCACCATACTGCCCAGGCGCGGGCATAGGCTGTTGTTGATATGAACCACCGTTATACACCGGTCTAGCAGTACGGAAAAATGTTGCACAGGGGAGGCAGGCCCCAACTGAGCTTACGGTTGTGGTGAACGATAGCCTCCAGAGTGATATGATGGAAGCCTCTGACCGTACCCACCCGAGCCTCCACCACCAAAAGACCTACTGCAACGAATGGACTGCCAACAGAGAAAACCCCCTACCCCATTGGGCGCCCTTCGCCCTTTCCACGAGATCCCTCGCGACGGGCATGCTTAACCTCCACCTATATAGGGACAACACTGCGATACCTTCACTGCGCCACAAAATTACATGTTTGTCATCAATCACGTTAGCATCTCCGCCTGCAATAGCAGCCTCAGCGTCAGCCGGTGACGAGTAAATAACGTAGCCAAACCCTCTATGACGTCCAGTATCGCGGTCGTACATAACCAGGGCTTCAGCTACTGTACCATACCGGGAAAAGTGGTCATTCAAACGTGCTAAGTAAACACCCCACTATCTAACAAGTGACAGCCAGAGTAACTACCTTGATCACAACTGTTGGGCAAGCCGCCAACGAAGACCTTACATGGGTTGTCACTACTCTCGCTGGGAGCCGCTACTCTGCCGTACCTTCGAGTTCCACAATACTTCAGAGTGAGATGGTATGTTCCCTACCCAAAGTCCCCACTGCCTTTACCGCCGCCATATCCTCCTTTACCACCTTTGCCACCGCTAAACCCCTTACCACCTAAACATCCTCATATGCCTCAGCGACAGCAGATACCCGCCTCAACACACTACCTGCCTTGCCACCATTCTGTGAGGGGCCCTGAGATGCCCTCTTAACGTCAACCGTCTTCTCCAGAAGAACATGCGGGCCACTTGCCAGGCAGGTCTAACAGGAACAGCTATCACTAACAACAACACCGACGATAGAAGCAGACGTCCTACTTCCATGTCCGTGACCTGGCTGTACACAACGAAGCCGAACCCTCTGGAACGGCCAGTGTTACGGTCAAACATGACGACGGAGTGCTCGACAGGACCAAACTGCGAGAAATAGCCGTCCATGTGCTGCTTT